AAGCAAAGCAGCAAAAAAAAAAACAAGCAGCTAAAAAACAAGCAGCTAAAAATAAAGGTTTTCAAAACACCTGATGTGGCACATTCACTGGCTTCACCAGAACCAGAATGAAAGAAAAACAGTATCAGGGAGGATTACATCAAGTGAACCAGAACCGAGCCGTTCAGTTAATGTCGGCTGAACCAGTTACTGGCCTGAACTGGAACAACTTCAATTGTAGGTGAACCTGAACTAGAACTGAACCCAGAAAGTTAATGGTTGGAATACCTGGATAAAACTAGACCACAGAAGCAAAAACTGAGCTGGGCTACAATAGGAAGTCTGTGTACTTCCACTGGCAAGCACTTGATTCACTGTAATTAATAACAGCATTGTGTTCTGGAGCAGATTACTTCTAAATATGTTCTGAAACCTACGTCAACATTAATTACTCTGCGAGGTCAGCAATGAGGGGAAGATAAGGCCATTCCTCACTTCTCCAATCAAGAACAACCTTGGTACACATGAAAATGCGACACCAATTTCTGCACAATTGCTTGTACTAAATTAAGCAGACATTGTAAAGGCTGGCAAGGGGAGGGGGAAGCCAATTTGGGGAGACGGAAAGGATGAGACCACACGGGGGGGGGGGAATAGGGAGATAGGAAATCTGATGATGTCAAGCAAGTCTCTTGGAAATGAGTAGCTGGTCATGCATCAAACAAGCCCAATTGAATAAACCAAGTGCTGCAGAAAATGACAGCAGCAGTGGCATTAATATAAATATTGATATTAATGTCAGCAAGCATGGTAGCCAGACAGTGGGGTGACTCAGAATTCAAACTGACCAGCACATGGAAATATATAACTTGCCAGTGTGTAGGCCTGCCCAGTGACCTTCAGAGCCACAGAGACAGAACTATTGTATTTTCCTTTTAATGGAGGCAATGTCCCACCATAGGGTTGCCAGGTCTTACCTGGTTGCTGGTGGGTGGGCGGGTCCAGTCTTCTCCTGGGAGTCTTTTTGCACGCATGCCACACTGATGTCATCCAGAGGTGACATTCTTGCGCAGGGCACATCAGGTGGGACACTCTAGCATTTGGGCAAAAAACCCTATTGTCACCATAGAGTTTTTGCTCAAATGCTAGTGTGTCCCCTGCACGATGTACCTGGCATGATGACATCACCTCTGGGTGATGCCATCATGGCAGGCACATTGGGCAGGATGGGGCTGTTCGGGGGCAGGGCTCCACCGCCCCCATCGGGGAGATGGCAACCCTACCCCACAACCACAGCAGTTTACCACAATTACAGTGATAGCCCATCTGGCCCACATGTCCTAGTGTCAAATGGAAGGCTACCATGTTACAGATGAAGCTCAGGGCTGTGTACATTAAAGATAAGCCTGAGTGGCAGCTCTTGGCAAATCTTCTATAGAGAATGAGAAGGTTATTAGGGACAGACACACATTCAGTTAGCAAGGAAAGTATGGACCTGTCAGTCATACCATACTCCCTTTGAATAAAGAGCAAGACAATGGCTCCCATGAAAGATTAAGGTATTTTCTGCCAAGGCTAGCAAAAATCCACAATTAATCTGAGACTGTGCAAAAATGACACAATTCAACCATTCTCCTGAGGCTGGAGTAGGACAGTTCTCCACTGCATAGACATTTCCAAAACATCTGGCTAGCCCGTTTTTCAACATGCCAAACCACAAAGATGCCATCAATTTCATCAAGAGACTTTTCCATATCCTAGTTAGACCTTGCTGCCAGGAAACTGTTTCTTCAGCGTTTCATCCTCTTATGCCTTATTTAAAATCCTGTCTGCTCTGAACTGTCCTTAGCAGCTCATTTGCTGTCTTCACGAGCATTCAATAACTATGGCTCATTCTGCTGTTGCCACAGTTTAGTATATTCATTATCATCTCTTTCTCCCCTCCCCCCAACTCTTTAGCTTTCTCTTAGTTGTGCTCAGTCAACATCTTTCTGGGACTAAAATGGCCAGGTGTAGACATGCCACTTCAGTTTTCAATCTGATAACAAAGGCAGCAAACACTGATGTTTTCTTGTTGTGGAATTTAGCAGAAATAGCAGAATAGCAGGACTATGCTCGTGCAGCTCAGTTATGAGTGGGGGAATGGGCTTGTGAGATACTTGTTCAAATCCAAAGCATCCCATCTGTTAGTCTGTTTTCTCCACTATTATCTTTACCTCCTCTTCTAGCAACCTGGCAGTTCACCTAAAAAGCTTCTTTGACTGACCATGCTATGTTAGACTAGTCATCTACATGATAAAAGTAGCTTTTAGAGACATAAAAATTCAACCTAAACAATCATTGAGCATAGAGCAAAGATGTCCCATGGAAAAATCTTTTCATCAGAATGCTGCCAAGATTGCACATTACATTAAATCAAGGCTGGTTTAAACATAGAATTTTGAATGCGCTCTCCTTAGCATGTAGCAAACCTTCTGAGTGGGAAAAGGTAGTGCTGGTGGCAAGGTTTCACTCCGAAGTCATCAGTATATTATAGGCTACCTTTAAATCCAAATGATCAAGACTTCAGCTGAAATAAAATGAAAGGACTGCAGGGATTGCTACTACAGATGCGAAGAGAAGTATCACTTCTCAAAGAGTATAATGTCTCAGAACTCAAAAAGGTAAGGCTTAACTCATTATGAAATGCTATTCAAGCAGACAGACATACACACATCATCACACCTCCATTTCTTTGAGAACAGGATGGTCTTCTATTCCTGGGAAGAGGACCCTCATGGCATAGGTGCGATAGTCCAAGAAGGGGATCCCAGCCCCATCCAAGTCATTGGTCAGCTCATGGATATCAGTCTGCAGCTCAGCAAAGGCTGGAAAGGGGAGGGAAAAAAACAGATTAAGACACCAGTTCCCAGCCTAGCTGATCAATGGGGTGTGGCTCAGTGGTAGAACAGTTGCTTTGCAATTGCATGCACAAGGTCCCTCATTCAATACCAGCAGTCTCCAGTTAAAGGGATCATGTGGTAGGTGATGTGGAAGACCTGAGACCCCGGAGAGCTGCTGTTAGTCAAAATAAATGATACTGACTGTCACAGACCAATAATCTGACTCAGTATATGGCAGTTTAATGTGCTGAACAGTTTGCAGAGCTAATCCTGCCCATAAGGACCAAAGCCTTGGCCTGCCATAACAATATGCCTAGCTTTATTTAGAGATCAAAAGGAACAAAATACACATTAAACTACTGGATTCTCATCCCACTATAGCGAAAGGAAAACCAAACTATATGCAGGTGAAATGGCCTCTTTGGAATTACATAGCAGGAGTAGGAGAGGCAGAGAGAGAAACCGAGATGACCCGAATTACAGAAACTGGATTGGAAGGGACTCCTCCAACGACACCTTGTCCAACCTCCTGGTCCTGTAGCATAGCTGGCAGACAAGTGTGCAGCCTGAAGGCTAGGACTTTGGTGCAGAATTGACTTTCTCCCTATGCATATAAAAGGGCAGTGAGAATGACAAAATGCAGCCAGAGATTTTTTTTTTTTCAAAGAGAGCGCTGGAGAAGAAAAAATGTCCTCATTTTATTTTGATATCACATCTTGCAGACAGAGCAAGAAGTTTGTGGACTACTGCTGGATGAGGTTGGGAGGAGGCTAGAAACAGCTCCCTGTACCTTTAATTGCGCCTACAAAGGGAAGCAGGTTGTTTGTGTGCAAGTTCCTGTGCTTTACAAGCAAAGGAAAAAATGGGGGGGGAGAGAGAAAAAAATCAAATTAATGGCACTTTAAAGGAAGCTGGAAGCAGCAGAGGGCTGTAGGCTGATCATTTTGATGAGAAAAAACAAACCGTCAGCTTGAAAGGCACACTATCTTATCTGTAACTAGTGGGACTAGAAAAGAGAAAAGGCAGAGAAGATATTGCGGCTTTTAATTAAAAGCAGATCCTTTTATCTGCCAGCTGTGGAAGACAAGGCGAAATCCCCTCCATGCGCTCCCTCCCTCCCTCCCTTTCCAATCCTCTCTGTCACTATTTCTATCTACAGGGCTATTTTTTCCACTTCCCCCTTTTTTATTATCTCATTTTAGGTGCCCGCTTCTGTTGCAGCCTCTGGGCCAACTTGGAGTTGGCAGGGTCACAGCCCCAGGCACTGGCGTGTGGTGATAATGGGCAATTAGGTTTTATCAGCAGGATCAGAAGCGGCATTCTGTCCAATTTCTCAGCATCTGTCTGTCACATAATGAGAGACCCACAGCCTTTTGCAGGCAGGTTCCTCTCTCGGCTCCTCTCTTCGCTTCAAACTTTTCCTCTTAAGAAGAAATCTCACTAACGTCCCTCAAACGGTATGAAATATAAATAAACCACCGGCAATAAAACTATTTTACCTGCCCTTATTCCATTCCCAAAAGGCAACCCATGGGAAGAGGGTCCAACTTTGCAGCGGCCCCAGGATTGCCAGTGCTCCTGGATTGCCTCAAACACTTCCTGGCAAAGAATCAGCTTAGTCACTGGCTACCCATGGGGGGGGGCGGGGGGGGGGGGGGGAGTTTGCACAAGCCCAACCTGTATGTGGTAGAGGGTGTTCACTCTCCACTGCTTGTCACATATTTTACCTATAACATTCTGGCTTTGATCCTAATCCTTACTTCCCATGTGCTCCTCTTCGACTACTGCAGAGGCAGTCCTTTGTCGTGCAGCACTAGGTGCCCCGGCACTAAGTGCTTTGTCACTCATTGGAAAGTGCAGGTCTTGTATGAGTGGAAGCTCCTAGAGCCAACGAAATGTGCTCCACAGCTGAGGACCGCCTTTATGGCAAAAATAAATAAATATATAAAGGCACAGTGCACACAGAAGCAAGGGTTAGGATCCAAGCCAATGACAGCCAATCATATTAACACAGTGACTACCCAACTACAGCACTAGGACCTAAGAACACAGAACACAACATGAATGAGTAGATACAGGCACCAAATCATGTAATGATGTTTTCCATGTAATGATATGCTCAGATTTCAGTTGATTTCAGTATCCGTACTGCAATATGTGGTTGAGATTTTAATAGGGTTCTTAATCCTACAACTGATAGGAATGTTCTCCACAAGACTAAGTCAAAGTCATAACCAATGTTGTCGTCTTTTTTTATGCAGGACCTGGGGCTCCAGGATACATGGGGTCCTGATTCATCCTTTTGTCATGGACCCTGCTTTATATATTCCCCATCAGATATTACGTTAGATGGCTTTACTATTACAATGAGCTCCCTTTTGGGAACAAAAAAGGCTGATATGAAAACATGAGTGTAGCCGGATGAATAACACTTGTGGAGTAAGACTGTGGCAGCCCCCCCCCCCCTGTTGCTCATAAGTAAGTGGGGGAGCAATCCTAAACAAGTCTGCTCAGAAGTAAGTCCCATGTTATTCAGTGGGGCTTACTCCCTGGCAAGTGCATTTACGACTGCAGCCTGGAACAGTTCCAGTGGGTCTGTCACTGTCATGTATAGTTTAAACCTAAGAATGAGCCCTTGGAATATTCTTTCAGCAGTTACAGCAACACGTGCCAAGACGATAACAAAGCAGGAGCTTTAAGCTGCAACCCACAGACTTCTTATATCGGAGTACGGAACTTAATCCCACTAAAGCCATGAAGCAATCCATGGATTGCAGCCTTCGTGTTAAATTATAAAATCCTTAAACACCTTTGCCATGGCAGGTTTCATTAGAGAGAAACCATCCATAAAACAAGTTTATTCTAAGAAATACTTAATATAGCTTATGTTATAATGTCCAGTAAAAAAAAAAGTCCGTGGGATTTAACACAGGAAAAAAATGTATATGCAAATCTCAGTGGGGGAAGAAACCAATAAAGGGGAAAATACAACCTTTGAAAAGATGTATTTTTCCAGGTAGCAGAAATGTTTGTAACATTCTCAGTATACTCTATCACACTGCTGTTTTGTTTTGAAATCACTTATTTATTTATTTACTTAATTTATACCCTGACTTTCTCCCCAATGGGGACCCAAAGAGGCTTACATTGTTCTATCCATCTTATCCTTACAACAACCCTGTAAGTTACATTAAAAACATAAGAGAAGCCAGTGTTGGATCAGGCCAATGGCCCACCCAGTCCAACACTCTGTCACACAGTGGCCAAAAATACCAGGTGCCATCAGGAGGTCCAAAGCCACCCAGCAAGCTTCCATGGCAGAGCAAGGATTCAAATCTGGGTCTTACAGATCCTAGTCTGACAGTCTCACCACTAGACCACACTAACTCTCTCAGTCACGAGTATTGGCATAGAAACAATGTTGTTGTCTCAGTACCTAAATCTTGTGGTATAGCAGAAGGTTCTTAGAAACTGGGGAAACAAAGAAAGAAGAGGGAATACATCCTACTGAAGGGGTTGGGCTAAAATGAATATATTTGATAAAGAAACTTCAGCACAGACCATGGAACACAGAGAAAGAAAAATGGGCCAGATGGGCTTACCTTCCTTGCACTCCAAGGCCACGCGGGATTCCAGGTTGTCCATCTGCAGTTGCAAACGTTTGAGAGTGCGATCAGCATCTCGGGACTTCCGTTTGTATGCAATAAGGACAATTATGATGATGAGCAAGAGAAGGCCCCCACCCCCACCAATGCCAATGATGGCTGGGAGGGTCAACAAGTTGTCTGAGTAGATCTGCAGCGTCCCTGGTGAGAACTCAAAGCCACCAGCCTTGATCTGGAAGACATGGAGAGAGAAAACCGTCAAATATTAGTGGCTATCATGTTGCCATTTACCAACAGCACCTATTTGGAACTGAAACAAGAGGGGGGCAAGAACTGAGCAGCACGTTATTGAGGATGCTAATTATCAGTCGATGATCCCAGGCAGTGTTCCCTCTAAGCTGAGTTAGTGTGAGCTAGCTCACAGTTTTTTATCCTCTGGCTCACACATTTTTGTCTTAGCTCAGGAAGGATGGCTCCAGAGCATACTAATTTATGCAGTAGCCAAATCGCTCGCTCACAGCTTTAATGCCAGTAGCTCACAAAGTAGAATTTTTCCTCACAAGACTCCACAGCTTAGAGGGAGCATTGATCCCAAGGCACTGATAGCTAAGAAGAGATATGGGGATGTTTGCTCCTCTTGCTTACAAAAAGGGAGGGAGGGATGTGGCCAGTAAGTGATGAGGAGGACAACTGAGACACATGCCAGAAAAGGAATGTCAAGGAAGGGCATTCTCAGACTAGAGGAGCCTGTATTGTGGCTCACAGGACCTATGCCCTAGGTCAGTGTTCTTAAGGCTGCCCTTTTTGCTGCCTTTTGGAAGGACCTACTACACAGATATCAAGGGTGCAGCCCCCTTCTTCTCTTTGTACATTTGCAGACAACAGTAGCATGACAGCAAAGGGAAGTCACTTATAGTGATGCAGAATGTTCCTCCATGGCTCAGATATTTGGCTTTTTCCTCCTAGTGCTTGGCTTGTGTTTTCCCTACCCAACTTTCTTGGTCTGCTGCTCACTGTCCTTGACAGTGGTGAGGTCATAAGTCTTGCTGCCCCATTGGTGTAAGCAGCCATTGCAGAGGCTTAGCCGTGTTAGTCTGCTACAGGCTCTCCTTAAAGACTTATTCGTTTATTATAGCAGTTTTCAGGAGTCGGAGCCCATTTCATTAGATGTGCAAAGCATTGCATTCAGTTGGCAGAAATATTTATACCTAGAGTGACAAACAGCAAAAGGGAGGGGGAAAGGGTTTGCCAGATCCCCACCTCCAGCAGAGGACAGAGACCTCAGTGGAGTAGAATGCCATAAAGTCTACCTTCCAAAGCATCCATTTTCTCCAGGGGAACTGAGCTCTGTAATCTGGAAATAAACTGCAATTCCAGGGAATCCCCAGGTCCTGCCTGGAACTTGGCATCCCTAGTAGGGAATGACGGAGAAATACTATGCAGAAAGGACAAAAAGCCCAGTTTCCTGGGACAAGATGTAAGGAGTGCAAGGAGTGCATATTTTACACTCAAGTATCTAGTGAGAGGAAGATGCTAGATCAGGGGTGGCAAACATATGGCCCATGGGCCGGAACAGCCCCAGCCCAGAGCTTTAATCTGGCCCGTGGCTCTCTTCTCTCCCCCCCTCCCCACCCCCACTTGTCCTTGCCCTTCTGAGCTGCCTCTGAGTGCAAAGAGCAGAGGGCGGGGCTGCTGACCTTCCCTCGTCTTTGCTGACTTCTCCTGTGCCCAAGTGGGTCTGCTAAGAGTTATTTATTTACTGAAGTTTTCTGGCTGAGGGGGAGGGGGCTTGGTTGCAAATGTTGTACTTCCAAGTGGAGGCTTTTCTCTTGCATTCATTCAGTAAAGGAATCAGGTGAGTCTGTCCCTGGCACCTCCAATTAAAAGGACCAGGCTGTGGCTTATTATGAAACAGACTTTAGTCTGAGACCCTGGAGAGCCACTGCCACTCTGAGTAGACCTGGGGGGGGGGGAAGCCTGCAATGCCCAGCCATTCCATATTTTCCCCTGGGTCCTAGGCTCCGAGTACTGACTGTTAGACAAGGCTGGGGACAGGGTTTTCTCCCCATTCCAGGCAGTACGGGAGCATCAGCCCAGTGCTGCACTGCATCTTTAACTGCGTTTGTCTGTGTCCTTTTTGTCTCCACTACTGGGTATTACATTTTATGACAAACATGGCCCGGCCCAACAAGGTCCCATTTATGTAAGATCCAGCACTTATAACAAATGAGTTCGACACCCCAGCACTAGATGTTTTCTTTTGCCAGCATCTACAGAGGCACAGATATGCTCTCAACAGGAAAGGTAAATGTAAGGGGTGAATCCCTGTCAGCACTCTCTGTTACCCATATATCTCATTAGATTTGATTTAATGAGTCCAATAAATCATTAAAATAAAAAATAAAATAAAATACCCCTGAAATCTGCCATGGCACAGGCTCCTTCTCCTAGGAATGTCGCCAGCACTTGAAACTTTTTCCAGCTGATGGCCTCTGCTGTCCCATGGAGACAGCAGAGCAGGGGAAATGTTACCATTAACTAGTAGGAAAATGACACCTGCCTTACTAGGTGCCTTGCTGGTTTTTTTTTTAAGTAAAGGACAGCCTATCGGTATAAGTGGTTAATCTAGCCTTACTAGGCGTATCCCAAGAATTGCAAGAAAATCTGTCTTCCAGTTAGCACTGTCTGCTGCCCCAGAAGGAAGCAAATACAACAGTGGGAAAAGAAAAGGGCTGGCCACTGCAGGGTTACACCTCACGCAGCCTGTCCGAAAGATTACAAAGAGGTCCGATGGGAGGCAGACACATGCTGGTATGCTGTTGATGCCTGCAAGGAGAAGGCAGCGAGTTTGATGTCTTATTCAAGCAACATTACAATAACAGATGGGATGCAAAGTGCATTCCCTGATGGATGAGGCGCCTGGAGGAGGAAATGTTTTGGGTCCCTTTCAAAGACCCAAGGCCATGCTGAGCCCCAGAGTGCATTAGAATTGCTTTGCTGCAGCCTAATAGACAACAAATCCTATTTTAACACATTCAGGGAAAAGAAGCTAGGGAAGCAGGTAAACAGCATACCTTCTTTGAGTCTTAGCATTTATTTGCATTTCCCTTGTGCAAGCAATGGTTGAAATGCAGTTGTGGACAGGTTTACATTGGGACCACACAGTGTATCATTCAAACAAGAATAAAAGAACATGAAAGACACTGCAGACTGGGCCAACCTGAAAAATCAGCAGTGGCTGAACATAGCCTAATGCAAACAGGGCACAGTATCTTATTCCAAGACACTGAAAGGCCGGACAACACATCCAATTACCATATCAGATTACACAGGGAAGCCATTGAAATTCATAAACATAAACACAATTTCAACAGGAAAGAAGAGAGTTTAAAAATAAATAGGGCATGGTTTCCTGTCCTGAAAAACACAAAATGCTCTACATCTTACAATAGCACTACAGATAAGATTAGAATCTCAACGGCCAATCCATATGCAAAAGAACCTCCTCAGGAAAGCTCCTCCATTAGCCTGTCACAGCCTGGGGAACTCCTACAAGATAATGACTCAGCCCTACCCCACCTTCCTGAGTAGCGATAAATTACCTGCCTACCACTTTTCTTCTCACCTTGACACAGAGAGTACTCCATCTTTCTGTGTTATATCTCTGAGGATGCCAGTCACAGCTGCTGGCAAAACATCAGCTCCTACAATGCCAAGACCACAGCCATAGAAGCCGGGAAAATCTACAACAACTAATGGTTGAAAAAAGTCCCAAATTGCTGTGTAGATCATCTACGACTATCCTATCCTAAATATGAAGAACAGCCCCAGAGAGGGTGTGCATGAAAAACCAGAGGAACCATCCAATCCATTTGGATAGAGCACAGGTCGGGAGCGGACATATTCCTAGCTCTTGCATTGACATATCCGTGCTTGTATGCAGCATTATCCAAGTGGGCTCTCATGCTGCCTGGGGAATGACAGACCCTTGCTGTGCCTTGAGAATACACAGCTAGAACCACAGGGAAATGGCCACCGGTAACCATTCCACTCGTTCATCTCTGCAACCACATGGGAGTAGTATACCACTGCTGGGTTCCTTACACTATCCCTGGTGTTTTGGGCTTGCTTTACCTTGTTAATCTTTAGGGAGAGACAAATGTCCAGTTAAGGGTTAAATGGAACAGCAGACAAAATATGCCTGAGCTTTTTGCTCACTAGCATGGAGATAAATAGGTGTTTAATGGCAGCAGAAGTTGTAAGGAAAGCACTGGTGTTTGCCCATGCCAAATGCAATGGGTGACACAGAGCACTGTGTCGTCTACTCATGAATAGGGGAGCAGATAAGGTAGAACACAGATCCACAAAGGAGATGGAAGGCTCCATGCACTTCTGCTCAATTTCAGCATCCAGGCACATGGTCTGTAAAGGAAGCAGGACTGGTGTACGCCTCTGAACATCATTACGCAACACTCCTCCATTTTATCAGCCAAGCAAAAGCAACGTGGAGAGCTTTGTTACAGATGAATGAAAGCCACTGCTACAGAGCCACAAAGAACTCAGAATTGAAGGAGTCTGGGGGATTTCCCCCCAATTTTTGCATAAAGCTCCTTTGGAAATGTACAGGTATATGCGACTTCTAGCAGAATGTTAAGCACTAGAATCCAAAAAGTCATCATCCACTCAGTCTTACAGTACACAACAAACTTATATATCCCCCCCCCCCCGGTTCTGTTGGGATTCCCAATGCTCTGTTAACACTGGGCCAAGATATTCCAAATCCCATAACATAGTAATGCATATTTTGAGGCTCCCCTGTCCCCAAGGTTGGTTCCCTGCCCTCTGTGGTTTCCCTAGATGAAATGGAAGTAGGTAGGAGGGCCCCACTCTGGTTTCAGAACTGGGAAGGAGAGGGGGTTCTGGCATCTGCCTTCCCTGGACCAGCTGACTGTGGCCCTCTCTCTCTCTCCTTCTAGGAGCTTAGTCCCTTCCTTTCTCCCTAGCTGCATGAGGTGCCTGCCCTTTTACGGGATTCCTTGGCCACACCCCCGTCTGGCCTGTATCCAATCCCTTTCCCCTTGCTCCACCTGGAAGGGTATAAAATGAAAGGGAAGCCTTCCCTGCCTCTTCCACCTGCTGCCTGTCTCCCTGCCCTGCTCCTTCCCCTTCTCCCATCCTGGCCTTCCCCAAGTCTGGGCCTGGCCTTGCCTTCCGACCACACCCCTCCCTGCTACTGCCTGGCTCCCAGCTGCCTCCCTCTCCTGGTCTTCCTCGCTTGAGTGAGTCAGGCCCCCAGCTGTCCTCAGCTTGGGCAGGGTCCAGTCGAGACCACGTGTCAGCACCCAACACCAATTTGGTACGTAGAATCGCACAAACTCTACGCATAATTTGTTTTTATAGAACCACATGATCTTGTAGCAGAATTTGGATTTGGGAAGATCTACAGAATCTAGAGAGCAATGCATATATTCTGCACTCACTATACACTGGGATCGTATGGGCCTCTTCCAGCAAAAAAAATAAAAAATAAATGAGAAGCAGTCAGTGCCTAGTGCAAAGCTGTCACAATAAAATACAACAGGGGCCATGCCTGGCTTGCTTTACCGTCACTTTGTGCTGTCCTGTGAGGTTTGGTGACTCGCAGAGAAGTTGGGTCTCAGAAACTGTCAGGGCACAGGGAGTGTCACCAATAAGCACAGTGTAGTTTAGACGGGAATTTCCAGTTGCTGGAGGGAGCAGGTTACGGCCCTTTAAAACACAAACAAAGTGTAAGAGTTACTGGTTTTATTGCTAGGCTCTTCCCCTCAACCTTCTAGTCCACAAGAGAGGTAGATCTTTCTATTTATCCTCATTCTCTGAATAAGGCTGCCAAAGAATGAGAAACATCCCAACTCATCTTATAGGAGATATATGCCCAAGCTGACCCCAAACCGACTGCAAACCATCCTTGGCTGAAAAGGAGTGACAAAGTGATTACTTGTCTCAACGGGAGAGAGACTATTTCCCATCACCAACTCTGCCATTTTAAAGGTGTAAACCCTGCTCTAGTACATCATTACTGTCAAGATCTCTCAGCTTACAGGAAAGAAGTCCTCAATGCTCAATCCCAAACACTCCGTCCAACAATGCAACTCTGAAATTGAGAGGAGAATAACTGAAAGCTTAGGATCAAGGTTCACCCTGAATGCTTGAATTTCTGAGGAAAGAACTCTAAATCAATATCAGTATTCTCTCTCTCTCTCTTTCGTTCTAGGGCTTCCAGATACAGTTTTCTCCCTCCAGTAGTCTTGCTGGAACCTACTGGGATTCACCAGTGCATTTGCTACAGGGCAGAATTTAATTTCTCTTTCTGTCCTCCCCAAGCGCATGGCTTCTCCAGCACAGCTCATTTAATATCTAACAAACATAGGCTATGAAGGCAGCATTCTGAGTGAGAAAATACCTCACATGACTGATCTTCCAAGCAGCACAGGCATGGATTCCAAGGGTTTGCAAAAAAGCCAAAAATTAGCCATGTACATTTTACCAACAAAGGGAAAAGACTGGGAACACCAGTTACTACAGGGAAGAAGTGCCTGTGGGTAATAGATGCAGAAATAAGGTTGAAGGGAGTTATTACCTTGAGGATGAGTGGGGAGCTTGGCTTGAGCTCCAACATGCCGGAAGGGAGAGACTCAAACACAGGGTCTGGATAATACACAAAATTAGTTTTGTTGATGATCAGCAAGGCCTGGACATTATCCATGACAAAACCAATCTCATCCGGTCGGTCACCAAGCTCTGGGGGGCTCCGATCCGGGTTGTCAATGGAGGGAGCATAGCACACCATGGTGGTGTCATTGTAGACAGTGCAGTTCTGCAAAAGAATAAACCGCTCAATTTAATCAACATCATCTCTCACTGATTCCTTTTGATCTCAAAACACAAAGCAAGGTCAAGTGTAATCACTTCCTGGAAGGAAATCTGTGCATTTTCTCCTTCTTAGGGTATAATAGCAGTGCTCAATAAAATGTGTTCGCGTAGTTGGGGGTGGTGTTTCTAAATAGGAGAAAGACACAGTGCAGAATGAAGTTCTATCTTAGGCAGGAAATTCAGCTGCGAAAGCCCAGGGCCCTTTTCACAGCTGGCTTCAGTGCTTTGGCTAAATCCCACTCGAAATCATGCCATCTCACACTCCTACCCCATAAAACAGAACCTGAAGATGGAACCACTAGATTTCCCCCAACTGTAGACATATCTATGAAATAAGCGTACCATGGGCCTCTGCTGAGTAAAAACAGATTTAACCTTCTGCTTTGGAATTTATGTTCATGCTACTTAAGCCACACCAATCAGTAAAAAGGGCAAATGTCCCCAGTAAACCTGAGTTCTAAAATCGTGCAGAAATAGTCTTAAATTTAACTGCACGCTGTCAAGGCTGCTATATGCTGGCCGAGCTGTTGTCATTGTGTCTTGCCCGGCATTTCCCCTTGCTATTTTCTGCTATTTCCTATTATTGTTACCACAAAAGGTGATATATCCCAGGAATGTTCATTTTCCACTTGCCATTGTGGTTTAGGGAGGGTACAGGGCTGTTTGCGTAATCGCATAATGCACTTGCTAGACGCAACAGTACAATTCTCCAGGAAATTCACAAAGCAAGAAATGGGGAGGGGAAGAAGGAATGATCTGGGATGTGGCAGACAACAAAGCTTGGGGAGACCCCCCCCCACATACACACAATGCAGGAGGATTAACCGTACAATCAAAAACCCTGTGCCTTCCGAGCCAGAAAGGAATGCCCCAACACCCAACAATTCTATAGCATTGCTTTATATTGTTGAACAGCTTTCATATGCTCAGAAATGTTTGCCATGGAAAGATGGATTGGGGACACATCTCCAGATACAGCCTGAGCTTGAAGAACGAGATACCAGCACCAAAAGCCAATCCCTGTTTGTTTGTTCTCAGCTACACAAGACTCAGGCTCAAGATCTGCAAAATCACTTTAAGAGCCCTTTCAATGGAGGGTACATTTCGGAAAGATGAGAGATTGTTTCTTTTTATCCTTTTTGCCCAGGGTGCTTAAAGCATTTCTCAGTTATGGGGAGCAGGTGCAATGGGAAAAAGGAAGGATGGTATTTCCAATAACCAATTTCTTTAGTTGTGTTTGTGCTACTGGCCTCTACCCAGGCAGGCATCCCAAGGCGTTCCTGCTCCTGAAAGAAACAGACAGCATTGTGCACAGAACAGGCTTCCTTAGAAGGTCACACTGATCTTCAAATGAGTGAGAGTTCCATTGTACCTGTGGCTTCTTCCCCCATGCAAGAGACCAGTCACCACCATCACAAAACATAGTCAAAGCAGGGCAAGCTGCTTGTTCCTCTCTATACTTTTCCAGCAAAACATGGAACCCTCAGCTGGGTGGACAGTAGCTCACCTCAGAGTGCTGAAGGAAGCCCATGATGTATACTTTCATCCCATTCAATGCTCCCTTTAAGCTTTGGAGTCTTGTGAGCAAAATTTCTACTTCGTGAACTACTGGCATTAAACTTGTGAGTGACTGATTTGGCTACTGCATAAATTAGTTTGCTCCGGAGCCATCCTTCCTGAGCTAAGACAAAAATGTGTGATCCGGAGGCTAAAGACCTGTGAGCTAGTTCACACTAACTCAGCTCAGAGGGAATATTGATCCCATTATCTCTTTTAGCACACATGTTTTGGAGTGTTTTTTTTTTTTTTTGGTAGTGTTACACATGCCTTCCAATCCTCTGACTACAGAGACCAGTAGGACAGAAGATGTGGGTGCACATATACCAAAGACAACAATGTCTTTAACACGTTGCCTTATGCTCTGCTTGACAAACTGCTATGCTTGCATCAGAATGTCCAAATATATACTTACATTCTCCCTCTCAGAGCTGCCATACTTGGCTCGGATCCTGGGTTCCTTGATTGTGGCCAGGTTGGTGCCTGTTACCGTCAATAGCGTCCCACCACTATGGAGCAAGCGGGAGAAGGGATTAGTCAAAGGTTACTTGTACACAGACCATTGTGGAGTAAACCAAACCAAAGATCCATTGCTGGAACAACGTAAGGCAGTCAAATGGTATCTCTTATCTTCAGGCTTGGAACAATGCAGCCATAAAGCTGTAATTTTAATGAAAGTGAGCAATTCCCATTCCAGATCTCATTCATCTCCATAATGCACTAAGAACTCCTATGGACATAATCTATACTGGATCCAGATGCGGGGGTGTCAAAAGGCTTTCTAGCACCTTCCCCCTCTTAGTGTGCATAATGGCCTCGTCTCCTCGGTCTCTGGAATCAGAGCTGTCAGAACTACAGGGAGTAAGGAGACCGCTGCAGAAGCCTCAGCACCAACAGGGCTTAAGGGAGCATAAAAGAATCATACCCCATTCAAAATTCCAGGATAAACTAATCTTGCCCCTTCTCTCAGTTTTTATGCTGGATCTTCATATGGCATCTAAAGATTGGTTTCAAAGGCATATTTCCTGGGACTCTAAGCTGGGTGGAAAGGCAGCATAAAAATGTTCTAAATAAATTTAAAATGTGGCTGTCCTTATTAAAGAAAAGTGCAAAACACCCATTCCCTTCGGACCTACCTGTTGATACTCCACTCTGGATCTATCTTCTGAATGGTGGGGTCTTCCGTGTAGTAGTATGCCACTTCAGGACTGCTAAGTACAGCTCGGTTTATATGGATGAGGATGGGTGTCTCCCCTGGGACCTGCCCAGGTGGCGTCTTACACCGGATCTCGCCAGCATTTCTCCTGTGGGTCACAGTGAGAGAAAAATACCCAAGGTAAATTTCTTTGTTATTGCATAAACTCAAGCACACTGGATGTTCCACAAAGGAACAGATAAAAAGTTATGGCATCTCACCACAGACCAACCTGGCACCAAATAATTGACCTACTATGGCGTGCAGAAAGCACCAATATCCTCTTCCTAAAGAGATCACAGAGCACTTAGATCTAGTTCTGAAAGCTGCTCCACTGAATACCCAACTCTGGGAAACACCGCTGAAGTGACATCCTTTCTGTGCACCAGAATTAATATATTCACCTATGGTTTAAAATGCAGTATTCCCTGAGAAATACAGTGGAACCTGGGGAATGCCCACTACAGCAATGCAAACTGCCCTCCTCCCCATGGACATAGCTCTGGGCCCATGCAGGGGGAATAGGAGTGTGCATTCGGATCTACCTGAGCCAAACCCCCCCCCCCCAAAAAAAAATACCTTCTCAAATGTATCTGGGTTTTCTTGGGAAAATCAAACACACACACCACCCAAGAAAATCCCAGATATATTTGGGGATTTCATGTAGATCTGAAAACAGCAGAGAGTAACCTGTTCCTGTCTTTCAACTGTATGTTGGGCAGACCTATGCCGTCCCTTTAAACTTTAAAGGGATTGCAAAATCAGCCCGAGGATTAGCTGGGGTGGTGGGGAGCTGAGAGCTCGCTGCCACCTTGGCTATGGCTGGCTTCTCTTGCAGCCCAGTTTAAACCTCCCCACAGGTGCAGCTCTGCACCGTCTTCTCCTGCTGGCCAGTTTAACCTAGGTGGCTGGAGAGGGCAGCCAAGCTGAGATCAGCTGTGCTCATGGGGAGCCAATCACTCCCCCACCAGCACAGCCCTGCAGCTCGGTTTAAAATGGGCTGCAGGAAAAGCCAAGCCAGCCCCAGGATCGGGCTGGTATTTTTTTATCGGCATTTTCCAGTTCTGGCCTGGTCTGGTTTTGGGGATTTCTGAAAAATCTCGGATTTGAATACCATACCAATATCTGGATCTTGGATTTTTTGGGGAATCCTGACATTTGTTCAGGTCCAACAAACCAGAGCCAAAAAGTACCGTTTTTAAAAAACTGCACACCCCTAATGGGGAATATGGGAAAGAACCCAGGTTCAACTGGCCAGGGAAGCAGCCAGCTATGCTCCATTGGTCATGGAGCTGTTCACCTCTTCTCTCAGATGTACTACCCTCCTACATCTAGTGCCCACCCCTCCCTGTCTTAGGGAAATGCTGGTAAAATGATCAGTTAGCACAAAACGAGAAATAGAGCAAAGGCAGCCGTTGAAGCTGCTGTAGCTCCGGAGCATTCCCCCATCGTGAGGCTGCTGCAAACAGCAGCGATTAGGGCTGATAACCAGTAATTACTGCAGGAAAATATTTAAAGAGCCGCTCCATTATCATCCCTAATCTAAAAATTATCCACTTCATGGCTCAGGGATTTGTGCTTTTGAGAGAGAAAAGAAATTCACAGTCTTTGGACTTTTTTTTTTTTTAAAAAATGAGAGCCTTGAAAAGAAATTCCATATCAGGCACTGGAGTGCTTGCTCGGCTCCTCCTGAGCAATATCTCATTTCAGATGGACGCACATACGGAAATACACTTACATACACATCTCATTCAAATAATCCAGTGTAGTTCACTGTATTTCTTTTCCCCTTTTCTGTAGCACACCACAACAATTCTAACCCAAACCCACGTAAGCCTCACCATGAAAAGGCACAAGCTTGCCCCCCGATGGTCACTGTGATGTCACTTCCTGCATTGAGGTGCTTTCCCTTTATGCTAATCCAGGTGCCCCCAGAGAGAGGGCCCCGTGATGGTGTCACTTGTGAGAATGTGGGATTCTGTCAAAGTGGAAGAAAAAAAACAATACGGCCACAGTTCAACAGGTATCATCGTATCAAGGAACAACAGAAAAAAATGCAGTAAGAGAAAAACTAGGGAAATTCTTTCGTTTCAGGCATTTGGTGCCACTGCATGTATCCTAGTGAGACAATACAATATTTAATTCTACTGGGATCCACTTTAAGAAGGTAGGCAAGAAAGTCAAGCACCAGGAAATCAGGCCTTTATCAATCCACTATATCCATAAAAATGCACATGCAGGGCTATTTTTGGGCAGGAACGCACAGGAATGGAGTTCTGTCTGGCTCCCAAGTTGACCACGCCCAGCAGGAACTCATTAGCATAATAGGCCACACCCAATAGCAGAAACTCGTTAGGATTGGCTACATTAGGGGTGTGGCCTAACATGCAAAGGAATTCCTGCTACAAAAAAAGCCCAGGGTTTTGACAACAAACAAGGTAAACAGAATAAGAAGCAAAAGGTGGGTGTGGCTGGATGACCACACTTCTGGTAACACATGGGTGTGGCCTAATATGCTAATGAGCTATGCTCTCATGGGTGTGGCTGGATATGCTAATGAGTTTCTGTTGTTGGGGGTGACCTATTATGCTAATGAGTTCCTGCTGGGCTTTTTCTACAAAAAAAGCCCTGTGCACATGTATGGACAGAGAGACAAAGAGAAACTACTTGATTCATACACAACACAGAAATACAACATTCTTTTGCATGGATTGCTACAACAAGTGTTCAGCAGCAACAAATGTGGTACTTTTCTTTGGGACTGACACTCAAGTGGAATCTCGACAGAATGACGGACAAATCCAGTCAGCTAGCCAGCTTCAATCATCACTAACGTGGGAAGTACTGCGATTTGCAAAAGCCACCTCCTGGTTCAAAGAAGAAAAACACCACCTCCCTCATCTGTAACATTTCAGAGCCTGTGACTTTCCTTTGGATTTCTTCCAAGCAAGCTGTAGGACAGCCCACTCCAAGCTAACTGAAGAATGGGCAAAATTCCTTTCTTGACCCTCAGCCACTAAAAAATGTGAACTAGGAGTCTCAAAGCTGGAATCGCAAAAATCTACAGCTTAAGCAAAAAGATCAGTCTATACATTTGTATCCTTAATGGCTCAGTATATCGACCACTCCCTGACTGGCAGCCCCGTTAGAAGCTTATCATGAAAGCTACGGCACAACTTATGCTTCCCATTCCCAAGCATATGTTTGTTTACAACAACTCTGTTAGGGATGGAGGAAAAACAAGGGGGATTCAGAGTAAGAAGAGAGGCTGCATAAGAATGACCGATACTATATATCCCTTACCACAAAGGTGAAGCTTTTCGGGGCTGTGGCCTTGTAGTTGGGGGAACAGTCCCTGACGCAGACTTCCACAGGTGCATCTTGGATTTTGCTAGGGCTGGCTTCTCCAATCTCACAGACAATCCTAGGGGAGGCACAGAAAGCATTCTTGTAACATTCATGCTGTGCCTGAACACTGGGAGCTATTCCAAGGTCCCGTAGCCAACGTTTCTGCTTTTTTAAAAAAAAACCTGCAGGTCAGCTACTTCCAGCCTGCCACTGCACTATGATAGGCTGCTCTAAAAAAGAAAGTTAATTTTAGGAAACGATTTCTCAACATCCATCAATAGGCCCCTCAAAATTGTGAAATACATAAAATATTAGACATGCCATGATGCTTGACCAAGCAGGATATTTATCCTTTACAGTTTAACAAAACGAGTGAAACAAAAACAGAAGCCCCTATCTCCTCCCTGCCCTCATCACAGCATGTGCTTATCGAATGACAGGCATCGTCTAAAACTGAAACAATGTGATCATTCCAATAATTTCTACAACAGAATCTTTAATATCATTCTCTGTGCTTGCAAAAAGGAAGGCATTAGGGTTCCCAGGGCCCCTCGTCACTCTGGCAGGGGGATTTGGAGGGCATTCCAGGGATGGGTGGGGATGCCCCAAGCCCCACTCCCAAGAGCAGCCACCCGCCCGGCCTGATTTAAAGGGCTTCAGCTAATCAGCGGGGACCATGTGGCCCACCGACCAGCTGGAGGGCCATTTAAATCTAGCAGGAGGGAGGGAGGGAGAGGGGTGGTTGCGAGCCGCATGCTCAATTTGCTAAAAGACCCTTTAAAGGGTCTTTTTGCAGGAGGGGAGGAAGAGGGGTGGCTGAACAGGTAGTCACTCGAGGGGGGCTTCCCCCACTGGCCAGCTGGCTGGGGACAGATTGAGGCCTCCTGAAGCGGGGGAACCCCCACCCGGACCTGGGGGGTGGCAACCCCAAAAGGCTTCCATGGTTGCCATACTGATTTCTCTTATGGGCTCCTCTCTCTTATGGGTCTCAAGTTACATGTTTATGCATAATGATGAGCACATCTTAACTGGAAAAGCTTGGGCAGATTTTAGTGAGCGCAACAAAGAAGAATATACAGAGAGAAAGGATGTTATTTTCTTCCACAGAGATCAGCTTTTGATAGTGCAGATCTCTCAACATGCTTTAGGACTCAGACGGCTAAGAAGACTGAAGGTGCATTTAAGGAATGGCATTTCTTTAAGCTAATGCCTATTCCACAAAGGCCTTTCCCTTGCAGAAAACACTCAAAACCCTTCTCAAGTCAAAGCTCAACGTTATATATCCTGAGATTCCACACTCTCCTCAGCCATGTGTTGCCGTTGGTTTACCACCAATAAAATATGGAGCCAGAAGAGTCCTTCCAACAAAAATGTCATATCAGATCCAAATTCTAATTTCCTGGACATTTTGCCAGCCTCTGGAACCAAATAACTGGAAAGATTTATATGTTATTCCTTTCTAGTCACCTGCTCACCCAATACTTTCTCCACAGAGCACAAGCAGACATTGGCATGGATGGCATCTCAATTTATCATCAGAACCACTGTGTGAGGAAGGTTAGGATGAGAGACAACTGTGCCCAGAGTCATCCAGTGAAAGTCATCAGTATGCAGGAATCTGAACCCAGTCCAAGTCCCTTATCCATTATGCCACCCTGTTGTTGTTTTTTCCCCTGTTTTGAGAAATGTTTTTACACAACCCAGCCAACCTCTGCTGGTGGTGAAGTCTGGAACATCCTGGGATCAGGCAGCAAAAGTAGAATTAAAACTACTCTTTCCTAAATGGCAGGGCATGCATTCGGCCTGCCTCTAGAAAACACACACATAGCCCCAATCCTAGGCATATATTCTGCACCCAGCTGTAACTTCATCAAGGGTTAGTGATGTCGCCTGGAAAGCACAGCCTTCTTTGCATTAGGCTCCTCCCCACTCTAGGAAGCCAGAAGGCAAATTATATACACGCACTGCCATTTTCACGTACACAATATTGCCACCCCTGGTTTGCAGGGTACTCACTGCTCAGCACTGATGTATTCGCTCTCAATAGGAAGGCACATCACTTTCCCAACTCGCACCCACAAGCGTACATCCTCAAACTTCAGGCCCAGGTTCTCGCCGATGATGGTTAAGCGAGTACCCCCCTGCCGGGGGCCCGTTTCAGGAAACAGCTAGGGGGGAAAACAAAACAAAAAACAAATGGTTATTGGATTGACTAAACCAAGGTAATCAGTGTGTCTGCCTCCTAAGACACTGTGACACACAGCCCACCATTTATCTCCTTATTTAAAAAATCTAGCTCACTCCATTCCTAGGGCTCCAGGTGGGCTGCAATTCAAAACAAACAAAGAATCAGATAAACCCAAACTAAAACAATAAATGCTAAAATCTGGGAAGGCGGGCAAGCCACCCATGCAACAACACTAATTTTATTTTATTTTTATTTATTTATTATTATATTTCTATCCCGCCCATCCTGTGAGCCTCCCATGATGCACTGATACAACCTCCTCATTTCCATCCCCCATACGACAACAGTGCAAACCAGGTAGTGTTTTACACCAACTATTTACCACTTACACTATAACAAAAGTTTCCTACCAAGTGATGAGCCAGTGTTAAATATAGCCAGTGTGATATTTTATATTTCTTTCCCATGTCAAAGTTTGCTGCACTCTGAAGTACTGACCCAGAACCTGTTCTGTATAGAAGGCATTTTGGCAATGGATACTGAGGGAAGACATTCTGTGCTTTTGAAAAGGGCCTGGGAATTCCTCTTGTCTGAGAAGAGCAAAGAAGAAATCTAGGCATCCATCCTCACATGAAAACAGAGAGGGAACTTCAGACCTTTTGGAACTATCTGCTCAGAATAACTGGACTGCTGAGTTGGCATGGTTAGCATCAAGTTGGTGGCTCCACGTTATTAGAGTAGTTCGTACCTGTAGCCATCCATCTCTTTGGTCTCACAGAAGCAATGCACGTATGTACCACTCTGGCCTTACAGTAACACAAAGGTGGACCTTTTCTGCCACGGGGCTGCCTGCTCATATTTATTTATTTATTGCATTTGATACGGCTTTCCAACAACAACAACAAAGAAATCAGCAAAGCGGTCATAGCGTTGGTCCTGAGCCTTCCTTTTGAGCCACACAGAGAGCTGGTCCATACATGGGCATGCCTCAGGCTCATGTGCTGCTCCCTCTTACTTTTGCACAGCCCTGATTCCCTCCCGGCTTCCTGTTTTGCAGCAAATAGTTTAACTGTGCCTTCCCATTCTGGTGTGGAGCAGGGGACCAGTGCAAATGATATCTTGCCAGTCGGCTATAGCTTGGCATGAAAGGGAAGGGAGAGAGGAGTACAGGAACCAGAAGCCTGTTAAATAACTGAGCCGCTGTGTCGTACTGTCTTGGAATCCTCTGTTCGTTTAGCCCCCTGAGAAGGGCACTGGATGTGTACTGAGAAGCTGCTCTGCTCTTTTGCGCTGCAGGTTAATAGAGGCCCAGTCATTCCTCCAGCACTCTCCTCACAAGGGAGAAACCAGCTAATCCCTGTAGAGTGGGACTCTCTCCTCCCTGCCCCAACCTGATTTGGTATATCCCAGCACATCAAAGTTTCTGCCAGCACCAGCTGGGGAAGGAAGCCCCAGCAGAGCATGATGCGGCTCATTTGTCAGGATGATTCCCAATAATGCGGACAGGTGTGGCTTGACAAACACCGGTGTGATGACGGATGAGCAGCGCGGCACAGGCCCACCACTGCCACTAACAAGGTAATTATAGGCAATTTTACACCACATTTTTCTGGCCACGGTGCTCTGTGCACACCTGCGAGTGATAAAGAGGATTAATGGGCATCCAGTTGGGAAAGCTCTGTGATGGGTCACTGGCGACCCCAAGCCCAGGCAACCCAGGCCAAGGGGGGGAAACAGGCTCAGCAATGGCCACCAGCCATGAACTGGAATAATAGAGACGGACTAGCAGAGTCAGCTGCTGACTGCTTACCTAGCTAGCAACACTATAACTGACAGTTCAGCTGTCCCTGCTGGGTCTAAAGACAACCTGTCCTGCCTTTTTCTAAACTAGTGGGTGCTGCTGGGAAGTGGCGACCGTGAGAGAGAGTGTGTCTCACTATTTATTTACATTTGCAATGCATCCTGCCAACTTCCAAATGCTCAGAGTAGATAACACACTTAAAACAGATTAGGCATACTTTAAAAAAAATACTGGGGGGGGGGGACCCATTGGCCTCCCCATACTGTCCAAATGGAAAAGACTGACAGTACCTTCGGAAATGCTCAGGCTCTGGCAAACATCCAAGAGAAGGGATTTCTATAATTATGAGGCAGCTGAGTTTCCCTGCTGCATGCTCTTGCATAGATTGCATAGTTAAGGAGACACACATGGAGTTGATCTGAGCTGTTGTGATAAATCATAAGGTAGGAAAGAGATTCCCAAGGCAGGTGGGAGCCTGAGATGTCTGGAGCTCTGACCTGGAATCTTATTCTGCTTGCCTAACTGTGAGAGGCCAGCGCAGATCCTGAAGCACCAATTTTGTGCCCAAGACAGAAAATCCAAATGAGGCTCCACATGGTCATAGAACATATTTATAAAGACACTAACTAATCACTTGCTGCCTTCTGATGGCACCCCAAAATCTACTGGCCAGAACAGACTGCTCATGATAACAGTGGGCCTAGGTTTAACGTGCAGCTGGCAGTCTGTTCCCCCAATGCCACCACACGTTGTACTAGCTATAGCCCCTGTATATTTGTCAACCATGCACAGTGTACTATAACGGTTCATTTGCACTTGATAGGATGGATCCAGATTAAATTTTCCAATGGCGGAATGGCACTTTCTCTCCCCTTCCCCCCACTGCAGCCGACTGATTTCTAAGAAATGCCGCTCCTGGGGAACAGGGGACCCTGAGGCATGACATGGGGAGTCTGCAGTGGGAAGGGGGAACCGGTGGAAACTGCCCAGTTTAGTTTGGATCCCACCCAATGTCTCTTCTCCTTTTCCTTCAATCTCATCTTCCCCCGACAGTCTTCTAAAGCCATCCCAAAAGGGAAGTTTGGGTCGCAGAATTAGTGTCAGGTCTGTATTTACAGGTTTGTTTCGTTTTTAAATTCCATCACCTGGTTCAGAATATTTTGCACTATATATGCTAGATTTCAGGGGCAAGGGGAGTGGGTTGTAGGTAAAGAAGCAAATCAATTGAGAGCTGTTTCCTCAAGCCATTGAGGAGGGTCGAGAGGTAAGAGTGCCCTTTCAAGGTTCCTGGCCAAGGCAACAACGTCTGACATTAAACACAACAGGGTCCTCACTTTTCTTTTCTTTTTTCAAACCGCAAACACCACCACACTCCACTGACTGAGCTACAAAAAGAGACTCTGCTGGAAAATTACCACTAGGCAGAAAGGTCATGGATTGCGCAAAGCCAGTGGGGAATTGGGTAGCTGAAGCCCACAAGCTCCGACTCCCATCTTTGCTCTCTGACTTGCATGCCACTCAAGTTAAGGTAACTTATAAAGCAGGCCTAGGGCAATCGCATGCCACGTTTCAGGATTTATACAACACTGTCAAACCGATTTGAGTTTCTGAGGATTGTCATTTGCTTAAACTCAATCCAATCATCTCCCAAAGTCCTGGATCAGAACTCATTAAGGCAGCCGCTGCAGCAAGCAACCCGAGTCATTCTTCCCTAAATTGGGCACCTCTGGAGTGTTTGGTGAGCCGCGGCTGTTTGTTTGGCATTGTTAAATTAGAGTTAAGGGCTGCTGCGGCATGTTAGATTTCCCCTCCACTGCAGCAAAACTGACAAGGGCCACATGTTTGGGGAGCAGCAAGTCTGGGAAAAAAGTTGACACTGTTTGACACGCTGTGCAGGGAGGTCACTGCTAAACAAGGCACATGGGAGTGAGAACTGGCAAGGAAATCTGGCTATTTCCCTCCCCACGCATACAGGCTCCCACCCAGCTACAGCCTTGGCAAAAAGCAACCTTCTTCTGCTAATTGGTTTCAGAGTACAGTCTCTCAGATCCGCTGAAGGAAGTGGGCAAGACATACACCAGCGACCATAACCTGGGATAATGGCATCCACTAGCCATCTCGGTGCACCAATGATTCATTTCAGAATGGCCTATCTGTAGCTACATGTATAAAACCAAAATTCAAAAAGTGACTGTTAGTGTAGCCTAGAAAACAAAGAGGTTACAGGTGCTGAAGGGGACTGAAACACACCGTTCTACCTGGTAACACAGATATGATCCTTGCCATGTTGCTGTGTGGCAGCAACACTTCCTCATTTCAGCTGAGAGGAAAGCCTTTCAAGGCCAAGGTAATATTGGCACCCTTAACATGGCATCCTGGCATGATATATTTGCTTTTCATCTTCCTCAAGGTAATGACCCATCCAGATCTATCAGGTTCTATTATCACTGCTTTTATCTACCCTTTCTCCTTGAATCGCTTATTTATTAAATGTATTTATTTACTTCATTTACGCCAGAGGCTTCCAACCTTTTAAAGCCTGTGGGCACCCTTGGCATTCAGACACAGCATGGTGGGTACAACCACAAAATAGCTGCAGCAGGTGGCAGAAGGAGGAGGATGAGGAGATTGGATTTATACCCCACCCTTCACTACCCAAAGGAGTCTCAGTGTGACTTACAATCCCTTTCCCTTCCCCTCCCCACAACAGACACCCTGTGAGGTAGGTGGGGTTGAGAGATCTCTCTCAAGAACTGCCCTTGAGAGCTCTGACAGAAGTATGGCTTGCCCAAGCTCATCCAGCAGCTGCAAGTGGAGGAGTGGGGAATCAAACCCGGTTCTCCCAGATTAGAGTCCGCGCTCTTAACCATTACACCAAACTGCTGCAGCTTACCTTCAGTCAAACAGTGAAGATCCTTGTGCTATGGTGGCAGCTGCTTGTGAAAGCAATGTTGGGGACACCTGATTCATACCTTGCCTTTCTCTCCAACAGGGACCCAGAGTGGCTTACATCATACTCCTCTCCTTCATCTAACCTCGCAACAACTCTGTGAAGGAGGTCTGGCTGGTAGTGCGTGACTAGCCCAAGGTCTCCGCGGAAACTCTGGGGGGAAGAGGGGGGATTTAAACCAGAGTCTCCCAGATCCTAGGCCAACACTCTAACCACTACAGTACGCTGA